TGTGAATTTTGTTAATGACGAAAGTCCAGGTCGAACTCGATTGGAATTCTCTGTACCGTAGCTATTTCTTTTAAAGCACTCAGACTCTCGTGATGTATTTGTTGGGCTAAAAGTTTGGACAAAATCCAGTAATAAAAGCTCTCTAGCATTTTTGCCCTAAAATCACTCAGGACCGAGCTAGGCTTTTTTTAGATATCAGCAATAAATACGAATTTAGGTAAAACTGATATAGGTTGTATAGATAGACGGTCCCGAAAATCCGATAAAAATTTGGGAAAAATTGCCTATGAATCCAAGTATATAAAAAAAAAAAAATGCTCTTCGCCCACGACGTCGTGCATCTTTATATTACATCTAGGTATATAAAAATCGACCGTAACGTATACCGCCCTTATCTCGAGCGCATGAAATTTTTCACTCTTATCGTCGACGCGCAGCTCTCTCTCTCTTCTCCGTCTGCATCGCTTTAATAATATATACGCAACAAAGTTGACATTCCGCAACGCGGCGGCGAACTCTCGTATAAATTTCATTTCTTTTCGCGCGCGTAAAAGCGCATAACCGCCGCGACGCGCGTCCATTAATCTCGCGCCACGTGTACGGCGTGTACTTATATTTGTTACCTCGATATTATTTTCAAGAATCATGCATTTTTGCTCTTCATTCTTTCGGCGCGAGCTTTCATCAACGCTGCGAAGTTTATATTCGCGCTAAATCTTGGTCCCCTCCGAACGTTGGCCGCGCGATTGTAATTTTGCGCGCGCGAGCAGACCCTTCCTATAATGCGTATAACGTACAGTACGAGCGAAGGAAAAAGTTTATCCATTAGCCAGCAGAATTTTTATATAAATAGGGCGTATATATAAATCCGCGAGCTTTTCTCCACGCAGCAAAAAGTTTTTTTCCCGCGTGCCATGTTCGAGCGCACGTACACGAAGTTAAAAAAAAAAAATAAAAAAAAGAAAAGAAAATCGCTCGTCGTGTAACGAATGCACAAAAAAGTCGGCCGTAAAAGCTCTCGCAGCAGTAGCACACGCACACGCACACACACAAACGCGCCGGCCGCCGACGCATTTTTCCCAAAGCTGTTTCTGCTATTTGTGCTACTTCTTCTGCGTATATGTACCGAAGGGCTGCATCGAGGAGAAAAAAAAATTGTATGCATCGCTCTCGGGTCGATTACACACATACACAAAAAAAAAGAAGGAATGGAGAGAAGGAAAAAAATTCCTCTTGCAGTTACTTTTGTATGTACAACGTGTTCGTGCGCGTACGATACGCACGAGGCGGACGCAAAAGCTCGCTTGCACACGGACACGTGCGCATTACACACACACATACACACACATAGGTACACGTAGGCGCGCAGGGGGAAACGCGGGTTCGTCGATAAGTCGACGAACACGGAAAAGCTCTCGCTCTGACGTTTCGTATACGTTGTACACCTATACCAACGTGTGTGTTTGTGTGAGCTGCGTTACTTCGACGCCGCGCGCATATGAGCAATTCTCCAAATGAAACGCATTTTTGGAGGTAGAATCGCGGCAAATTTTTTTTTCAACCTACGCGGATACGGACCCCCGGGAAATGTTTTTGGGGGTCCTAGGAACATGTAACCACGTAGGAACCATTGAAATTTCAATAGTGCTTATTTTTATAGCTACTTTTGTGCTTTAGGGCCCGAAAAGTCATGTTTTCGCGTAAATACGACAATTCACTCAATTTCTAAGTGGCTGAAAAAGTATCAAAACTCATTTAAAAAAAGTGACTGACTACTCCATTCGATAGGAAATTTTCTCAGCTTTCCGATGGTGATATCAGATTTTTCGATACATTGCATATTCACCGAGAAAATCGCCATCAAACGGGCCAAGCTAAATATCTCGAAAAACTCGGTACGGAAAAAGTGATCTTTGAGGTTTATTTACGATTTTTCCTCGTGAAAATGAAATTTATCGAAAAATCTGACTACACCATGAGAAATTTTCTATCGAAAGCACATTTTCATTTATTTTTTGAGTCGAATTACAATGTTATACATGGGAATATCTTTTACTTTGTTCACTGTTTTCTGTTTCCGAGCTGATTCAGCGCGGTCGCGAGGTTTTCGGCTCGCTACAATCAAAACTAGCTCGTAAATTCCACTGAAAAAATAAATGAAGATACGCTTTCGATAGAAAATTTCCTCAGCTTTCTCATGGTGCAGTCAGATTTTTCGATAAATTTCATTTTCACGAGTAAAAATCGAAATTAAATCTCAAAGTTTACTTTTTCCATACCGAGTTTTTCGAGATATTTAGCCCTTCGTGTATCATGGCGATTTTCTCGGCAAATATGCGACTTATCGGAAAATCTGATACCACCATTGGAAAGCTTAGAAAATTTCCTATCGATTACAGTAGCCAGTTATATTTTTTAGATGAGTTTTGATACTTTTTCAGCGACTTAGAAATTGAGTAATTAGCCGTATTTACGAGAAACCATGATTTTTCGTCCTCTAAATCACAAAAGTAGCTATAAAAATAAGCACTATTGAAATTTCAATGGTTCCTACTTGGTTACATGTTCCTAGGACCCCCAAAAACATTTCCCGGGGGTCCGTATCCGCGTAGGTTGAAAAAAAATTTTGCCGTGATTCTACCTCCAAAAATGCGTTTCATTTGGAGAATTGCTCATATAGTCGTCATCGTTTTATGGATTTTTTTCTTTCCTCCTCCGCCTCCTCCTCTTTGTACTTATTTTCGTTGTGCGTCGTAGCAGAGAGTCACGCACGAACTGTGTACACCTCATATGGCACAATTATTATATATATAGCAAGGCACCGATCCTCGTTATTTCCTTTTGCGGGCGTATCTAATTGGATTTTCGAGGCTCGCGTGCGTATGTGTGTTTGCACCGAGAGTTCTAGGCACGTGCGAGCTCGCTTGTTAGGCTGAATTTACCCTTACTTTTCCTGTACACAAGCGTAGGTAGTGAATTTTTTCAAAAAAGAAAAGGAAAATGAGAAAAGTCATCGCTTGATGGATCACCCCCCTCGGCTGTGACTCGTTATTCGCGCGTAATCGAGCAATTGATCCTGACGCGGTTAAAAAGCTGCACCGTAATGTGTATATATACGACATATATACATCGCAAGCCGCAAAAGCTCGACGCGGCCGATCGACGCTAATTGCAGAATACCAAATCCGCGATTACGAGGATCGAACCGCGTGGATATTAACGAGATGCGTCTGTATATATACGAGGCGGGCTCGTCGAAGCGCGTGCGCATAATAAATTGCGTATAATATGTCCTGACGTTTGTCGCGCGACCAGATCCAATTTCTGTCAATTGGAAAATCGCGCGAAACAACAACGAGCGAGACAACGACGAAAAAAGTTTAATCGGATTGGATATACGCGGGCGCATCGGGGTCACGATCAATTATCGTCAACGTCGAGCAATAATGGCTTTTCATACGCGCGCGTGTGTATAATATTTCCATACGCGTATGACATATTGTCCTCGGAACGCGTACAGCAGCAGCTTTCGCGATCCTATATATTTTACAATGTATTTACGTTACGCGCGCGCGGCTCGGCCACGCGAGAAACGAACGATTCGCATTCGAGAAGGGCGAAAGAAAAGCAGAGCTAGCTTTTGCATCGGTATGCGGAGCACGGAAAAAGTGCCACCGGTCTATATATACGACGGGAAAAACCGCTGGATTATAATGCACTCGATGATTCTTTTTTCTCCTCTTCATTTTTGAGATCTCGAGTACGAGCGAGCGAGCGAGCTTTTTTTCTCTGCGAATACCATTTTCAGACTCGTGTATATTGCAATCGTTATCGTTATACTCGGAGAGACATGCAACGAGTACACAAGAGATGCGAGTCGATGGTACGGATGCCTCGTTCGTGGTAATACACGCGCGCGGACGAAAGCACGTCGTTGGCACGTGCCATATACGCGCGGCACGAGGTACACGAGCGTATATATATTTATAGAAGAAAAAAAAATATCGTACGAAATTTTTTAGACACGCTATTTTTTCTTATTGAGTTTGGACATACGCCGTTTTCTCGGGCCTTATCGTATAGAGGGAGATCGCGATCGACTGACATAAAGTAACGTGACGTAGAAAATTGGCATTGATTAGTTTGCGTTGGTTAATTGCGCAATGCGTATTACAATTACGGATAAGGACGCGGGATATTAAAATCATTCAAACTTCGTCCATGTGGCATTGCAAATTTGAACGCTGTGAAACGAAAAGCAATTATCTGAGATGGTCAAAAGAACTGATTTGAAATCATGGTCAAGTTCATATTTTGCTCGTTATTTAAGTAATATTTACGACAAGTACACTATACGACTAGGTACTTACGGTTACTTATGAAAATATTCAATTGCTATAAATTCAATTCACGATTCTAGTAAACGATCGTTGACGTTATTCTCAATTGCAAGTCCAATTATAATCAAATGTGATGAATTTAAAAAAGCATTAATTTTTTCAAGAAGATTAAAATTAGCAAACGCAACAGCCTGGTTCTTATGATTTATATGTCTTTATATCTCGCATCCTGGTAATGTATTAGCTTCTCGAGAGGATTTTTTTTCTTAAAAATGCCCAATGGTAGGGTGAGACAGTCGATAGATTCCGCACAACTCGTTCACGTACTGTCGATCGGAGTTTGAAGCTCGATGGTCTTGTTATTCAATTCGGGCGTGAATAATTCGCGAAAGAAATAAAACAACGACAACAACAAGGACAAAATTAATAAGCACCAATATGCTCTAAAACTGTAGGACATTTTTTTTAGGCTTTAATAAATTCGTCATATATTTTCTGTGTTTTTATTTTCGTCTCGCTAGCGCACGGTCCATCTTGCACAAACGTCGACTAAGCCCCCCACGATCGATGCTCCTATTACCCTCAATTTTCATATCTCGACTCGAACGATCGATTCTCACGACGATAATAATTGTAAAAATTGTTCTTTGTCTCTCGCAGATGGTTCGTGGCAGTGATGCCCTCGTCGGAGGAGGAAAGCCTGTGGCTGGTGGGCAGCGAGGCAGGCGCCCAACAACAGCAGCAGCATCCCTATCAAAATCGTTCCGGCCAGCAGCAGCAACAACAAAAACAACAAGCAGCAGCGGTCGCGGCGCGTGTCGCGGGCTATCAGCAACCGACGTCAACGGCCTTTCGACTCTCCAGAGGTCTGCAGCCTTTTAATCACAATCATCGCTCGTACACCGAAGAAATGCAGCAGCAACAACAACAGCAATCGGCCAACAGCGGCAACTCGGCCGGTGCTACCGCCGTTGTGGCTGATCAACAGCAGCAGCAGCAGCTGGAACAACAGCAACAACAGAATTCCGTCGCTGCGGCGGGACCGGCCAACGGAGCCGGTGGTGGTGGTGGCGGAGACTCGGCCGAACAGCACGATCTCATCGACAACGCCAGCGACGCGGCGCTACTCGCCCAATTTCACGAGGATGCCATAAAACAGGTCGGTATCGCACACACACTCTTCGAAATAGCTTCGAATTTCGTCACTATACGGACCTACCTTCTTTTTTTCGCATCCAGCCACTTGAAAAGATACTGGCAATTTTCTCGCGGTGGATGTAATTTATGCGCCGACACGCGGCACTGCGTATACTATTACAAAAAAAAAAAAAAATAACAAACTTCATCCTATGGGCATATATACACGCACGATGCACATTTTAAGCTGGATGAAGCGAGCTTTTATACGCTGCCAACGAAGTTTGGCCATGCGTGCCGGTGCGTCGCATCTCTGCAGCTCTTCTCCTGCACTTTTCCAACTAAATCGAATCACTGCGCGCGTATAAAATTCGTCCGTCAGCGCCTACATGTAGGTACGCGCGTGTATGTTTACATTACTGTATTACGTATATGTATACACGTGCGACGCGAGTATCGATTCGTCTGCTACGTACATATTATATACATGGGACTGCTCACCGATGACGAAAAATAAATAAAAAAAAAAAAAAAAAACGAATGAATTAATAATACGAAAACACAGCGAGAGTCGATCGAGTTCTCTCGATCGCATACGTACGTATATTAATGATATAATATACATGAACCGAATCATTGGCGCGCGTTTTGTCACCCACTTGCTCCTCCTCGTCGTTCGTTCGTTCGCAAAGTAAATACAAGCTGAATCAATGTATACATATTATAAACACGCGGACGGTATAGGCGAATTCGATCGCCTACGCCGACTGCAACCGGTTTGGCAATTCTCCTCCTTTACATCCGTGCGTGTATATAATGCGAGCTTTTGTATCTCTCTCTCTCTCTCTCTCGCTTCTCTGCACCGACATCGGTGTACGTACAATGTGTTGCTGCTGTGTATTAAAAAACTGAAGCGAGCGTGTCTTTCGTCGTTGTTTTTGGTGTAACATTTATGAAGCGTTCGCTGACTGATGATAGCAGCACTCACACACACACGCACTATACACGCTTATACACACATTCGCTCCGAAAAGTCGAAACAAAGCGGCAGTAGCAGCGCTGCAGCCGTATCGTAAAGGGGGAGAAATTACATTATACATATAGCAGCAGCAGCAGTAAGCATTTCTCTCCGCGCGGACAGTGTGTTGTATATCGTCGTAGGTGCGTGTATATAACGCATCGAGTCGAGTGCAGCAGTGCACCGAGTTCAGCTTTTATCGTATATACATACGTTTTACCAACGAAACGACGTTATATAGCTAAAAACACCTATATACGAAAATAATCAGCTATCATGTCTGGATACGCGTGCGGCTCGTCTACTCCGACGCGTCCCGTTGTTGTTGTCGAACTCGGCTGCTGCTGCCGCCGCCGACGCGTGAATTCGCCCTTACCTCGGCTGTCATCTTGATCTTCATTTTTGTGCGTGTTGTGTGCGTAGTTTTTTGTTCTCTTCAAATGCGAGTGTCTCGTTGCAATTGATACGTAATATCCGCGTTCGCACAACGAGCGAGACAAAAAATAAAAAAAGGAGTGAAGCGTCGTCTCGTGCATGTGTATACAACATTGTGCCAAGAGTGTAATAATAATACAACGTAGGATATAGCGTCGAGAGCTCGTTTCGCTCGAGTCCCTCTGATACATTTGCTACAATACATACACACATAACACAGCGGTACATACAACTACAAACACACACACACAATCGCATCCGATACACGGTCGCGTTGTGTAGTGCTGCTGCTACGGCTGCTGTTGCTTTTTCGCGAGGCGCCTCTCGTCGCGCATGCCATGGCCGGGGAGGAGGTGCTCGTGAACTCGTTCGGCAGGCCGCCGAAACTCCAGCCCAGAACGGACCTGCCGAGCTGCATCGAGGATTTTCCAGTAATTATTTATACGCGCAGGCTTTTTCCCCCGTACTCCTTTTCTTCTTTTTTTTCTCGTTTGCCAACGACATCGCGTTCGCCGCGAGCATTTCTATGTCTTGTTTGTTTTTTTTTTTTTTTGGGTTTTGTTTTGGCCCAGCCGAGCCGAGCGGAATTGAGGTTATGAGCTTGTCAACAACTACGACGACGACGACTCCGATTTTGACACGAACGAGTGTCGTGTATAATGGTGCGCTGTGAGCGCAGCGTTTTGTTTACTTTGCCATTCTCTCTTTTTAATTTTTCGACGATTTAACTAAACAAATCAGTGACTCTGATCGAGAGCTCTAAATCATATCGTGTTCAGTTTTTTTCCTCTTTTCCGCTATATTCGTCGGTCATTCGTCGTTTCTTTATTGTTATTTATCTTCGGAGACCAGTGAAGCGTGGGCGTATTATATAGTCAGTAGATAGGTAGGTATATTCCGCGACGCGTGCGAATAGTTTTATTTTTGGCCTCTCTTTCTCTCTCCTCGGGCTTTATGGCCCGTGAAAGGGGAAAAGTGCAGTTTTCGTGGTTTTATAACGCGTGACTCTCTCGATGCGCGAACGAAACGTGAAATAATATCGAAACAAAATCTCCATCGTAATGTTTTTCAATGTATAATGCATCCTTTCAGCTGACAGACGGTTTAATTTTTTTTTCTTGTTTTTTATTTTTCATTTTCAAGTCCTAAAAATTACGTTTAACGACTGCGCCGAGAGTCTACTTTTTCATCTTGACACTGTCACGCGTCGGTGTCAGCCGTCGTTATTCATTTTCTCGCTTCGACTCGTTAGCGACAATAAATAAATCTAAAAAAAAAAAAAAAATGAAAAATAAATCGCAAATCTCTCGTCCACAGGCTGGAGTTGGCTACTTTCAACTGATCGCCTTGCTGTACGTGGGCCTGTGTCTCGCCGCCGACACGGTGGAATTTTTCGTCGTCCCCTACATACTTCCGAGCGCCGAGGTCGAGCTGTGCATCGAAGACAACGAAAAGGGATGGCTAGGTGAGTGTCTCGACTTTTTCCCATCGATCCGCGCCGATAATCCGTCATTTTTGTAAAACAAAATCTCTCGTTTCTCGCACCAAAAAAACAGGCAACATCACTCTGGTGGGCCTCGCCATAGGCGGAATATGCTGGGGCGGACTCGGGGATCGGCTCGGGCGAAGACGATCGCTGATCTCGGCCATGGCCGTGCACTCGCTGTTCAGCGGCGTGGCCACCTTCATGCCCACCTACGGCACCTTCATGACAACCAGATTCTGCTCGGCCGTCGGGTAAGCTCATCATCCTCTCATTAAAAAAAAAACAATGAAAAATTGAATCGAATAAAATTGAATCAATGATCGTGCTCGCGTAACGCGTGCAGCGTCGGCGGCTCGCTGCCCCTGGCCTTCATCTATCTCGCCGAGTGCTGTCCGCGGGCGTCGCGCGGCAAGTGGATCGGCATGCTGATCGGGGCGGGCGCCCTGGGCGGCGTCTACGCGGCCCTCCTCGCCTGGGCCGTCGTGCCGACGACCGGCGAGATGGTCGTGCTCGAGAACACCGAGCACTTCAGCGCCTGGCATCGCTTCCTGCTGTTCTGCTGTCTGCCCGCGTTCTGCGCCACGGTCGGCCTCATCTTCTTGCCCGAGAGCCCGAGGTACCTCGTCGAGGCGGGCCGCGACGTCGACGCCATGATGGTCTATCAGGTAACTGTCGACTAAAATTATTCTCATGAGCTTTTTGTGGGCGGGCTTTAAAATTGTCCTTTGAAATTTGCAGAAAATATACAAGAAAAATAATGCACAAAAGAATGCCGCGGGGGCCCAGTATCAGCTTTCCGAACTCGAGCTTCCAAACAAGAGACCGCGTGGACTGCCTCCACCGTCTCCAGCTAATCATAACACGAGCGTCCTGGCGGACATCATGTGCTCCATCGAAATGGTAAGCGAATCAATGCGTAACGACTAAAATGAAACAACTCTGTTGCCCATCACAATGTTGATTTCTCACATGATCATTTTAGTTTTGGAGTTCTTTCCTGGAGTTATTCGCGACTCCTTACTTAAAAGTAACCGTAGTACTTCTAGTCATTTGGTCAGCTACAGCCTTTGGGTAGGTTGGCAAATATTTCATAGCGTAATAAAATATATGTATACTTCACGGACGAGAGCTACATCGAGAGCGAATAATATTATTACGCGAAATCGATCGACACTTGAGTATAATATCGATATTTTTATTTTACAGTTTGTATGGATTAATGGTATGGTGTCCTGAGTATCTCAAACTCTTACGGTCAATAGATTATCAAGCCCACACAGAAAGATTTGTCGGTGTAGAATACAACGGAAAAACATTCAATGGTTCCTTGGAAAATCGTCAATATAGAGATTCAAGATTTCAGAATTGCAAGTAAGGAAAATATTTTACAGAGTACATTTATTTATTTTGCAAAGAATATGCCTCTTGATCCGTGACTTTTTTCCAGATTTATTAAAATGGTATTTAGTCATGTTGACTTTGATAACTGCACATTTCAGTCGGTGGAATTTAGTAGTATAAAATCGAGTAAAACGCACTTTACTAATAGTACAATTGTTGATTCAAGGTCAGTACACTCATTAAGTAAACTGTATTTTTGTTACCTATCTTTGCCAAAAACTGTCAATTTTCTTCTACTTCAGATTCATCGATACCGATCTCTCCGAGCAAGCTTTCGTCGATTGCCACACTGAAAACGTTACACAGCTAAGTCTACGTGGTCCATGTCCTACCCTTGATTTAGATTATAATATATATATCGAAGAAGCGCTGCACGGTCATCTCGCGGCTCTACTAGCATTTGTACCAGCCGCTGCATTGGCTGGATTAGCGCTTACAGTTCTTCAGCGGCCAAAAATGATAGGTGCGTTTTCGAGATGAATGATGAACACTTTGAAAATGAATTGACACCATTTATTATTCGAGTAAACATTACGAAAAACATCAAATTAGTTTTTCGTAATGAGTGCTCGATGTATCCAGTCGTAAAAAGAACTCGTCGACCCAAAATTAAAGGAAAAACCCGTGCTGTTGTTTCAGGTGTATCGTTGTTCCTCTCTTCCATAGCTGCGCTTTGTCTGATGTTGGTGAGTTCGAATAGCGGAGCTGTTTTAGGTTTCGAAAGCGGCTTCATAGCTATATTCGCCATCGCCTGGACGGCTTTGACATTAGTGACAGTCGAGTGTTATCCTACTCATCTTAGGTAATGAATTTAACAAATGACATCGTAAAGTTTATCTATCTTATTTTTCCACAACGCAACGTTTCTTTGTGTTTTAGATGTACTGGCTTTGGTTTGATGGCTGCGGCCATTAGAATATCGGGTCTGATAGGCACGGCAACTTATCAGAGCCTCGTGAACGCGCCCTTGGTCGCGCCGTCGCTACTGACTGCATCGGCGCTGTTCATCGCCAGTATCGCAACGCTCAAATTGCCGCAAACGCATACGGTCTTCTTGTAAAGCTGTTGAAATATATGGTATACGATTATCGAGACTTTCGAGGAAGCCACGCGATGCGCGGAAATAACGTGAGATTCGAATCCAAAGAAAATTTGGTTTTTAATTAAGATGTGTGCGACGATTTGTACACGAAATTGCGTGAATGCGAGTATAGTCGTGAATTACTTGGACTGGATTAAAAAAACCAAGCCAATTACACGGAGAGCAATGCAGCAGAAGGGACGTTTTGTAATTATAACTGTTCTTTATTTTAAAAGACATAAACGTATCAAACTATGTGGCAACTCTGCCGAAATTCAGTAAGTGTGAATGTGTATAAATCGAGATCGTAGAAGAAGCTCGAAGGTGATATTTTGTGCTGATTATTATTTTATTTTGCGTTAAAGGTGATAAACTGAGATTTTACGATGAAATGATAGTTCTCGAGCCTTCGATTAGTAATACGATGGAAAAAAACTATTATTTTTCATAATTTGTACTTTTTACTGTATTCTCATCGATGGTGAGAACTAATTTATCGTGTTTTGTATTATGTAATAAAATTATTTGTGTGAATGTAAAACTTGTTGCAGATTTAGCTCGATAGAGAAACGCACATACCTTTTGTGACATTGCCAAGTGTATAGGGAAAGAGAGAAAGAAAGAGTGTGTGTATGTGTATGAATATGAGTTGTTGAATAAATCATCCGGTAATTATTATGAATTAAATAAAATATCGCAAAAAAGTGAGATATCTAATCCGAGTTAGCCACGGTGTAATTTTTTTATTGTAATAAAAATAACTAGGTGATACTGTCATTTAAAGGTCATTTAAAAATTGATCTTACATTGTAAAAATGATTACACTCATTTCAGCTGGTTAAAAAATTGTTCGTCTAAATTTGAAATTATATTTACTTTACGTTTAATTTTTAAATACTTAAAGTTTCTATTTATTCTGTGAAAACTAGTCCTCGTAAATTTTTATGAAATTTTGTATCTCGAAATACTTGGAAACTTATGATACTTTCGTCGAAAAATTAAACATGATTATCGCATGCTATTTATTTTGAGTGATAACACAATTAAATTGAATATTCAATGAGTCAAATTTTTAAAATGCTGTCAATTTAACTCGATAATGACGCAATAATGGACAAGAATAATGATTTAGACGTTTCTTAATGTATCTAATAGTCACATTGATTGAAATGGGCTTTCCGAAAAGTTTCTAATGTCACATTGAAGGAATTGCTTCGCAAGATTAATTAAAAGAAAATCTAGATTTTTTTAACATTGCCAAGCGCAGTGCAAAATGAAGATTCTTAAATAATAGTATCAAAAAGTAAAAATAATTTTTCCACTTTTAATATTCTCAAATAAAGAACACATCGATTTTTATATAAATAATAAGTACATCAAAATTATAGCGAAAAATTATTGTACCGATATCAATAGAAGCATCAACAATTTTTATAACAGTGAAAAAAACATACGTCAAACGTATGATTGGGAACAGACCTTTAACTCAGAAGTATTTTCTTTTCACCAACATCGACGATTCTCGTTAGAAATCTTGCCTTGTATATTCCAGCTCAGCTTCGTGTCACCCCCTTCGGACGGAGGGAGATCGATCGAAATGTCGACTATTACAAATACCGTTAATTTATCAAACATATCATACGTATGAATGCCTATAATATGTAATGTGCATTAGAGCTCAATTAGTCTTCATTTTGGTATATCCGTGGCTCGTTACGACGACGCGTCTTGTTTATAATAAAAAATAGAACATCGTTCACTGTACGACATAGTAGAAAATGCTTTCGTAGTAAGTAAATCGATTAAGCCAAAAAAACAAAACGAAAGAAAAAAAAGCATGCATAAGCGAATATAAAAGCAGCAGCAAAAAAAAGCAGAGACAGTTGTTAACATTTATCTCACTCACACGCGAGCGTATATAGAATTATAAAACAAAAATATATACGCATATTACGGTGATATAATATACGATCGCGACGGACACGCATTAATCGTTAAGCCGATATGTAGTTGAACGTATAAAATTCGTATTAATAACGTAAGGTAATTTCGCGAAAGGGACTCGTGGAGGGCAGGTCGAGTCGTTCGAAAAAAAAAATATATCGCGCGCATGATGCATCACACGTTAAACGTAAAACAAGCGTAAGATTATTGTTAATATATTTTAAGCTATTATTTGTACTATATGTAAAAGTTTGTAATATTAAAAAGGATTAAAAAAAGACTTTAATACTAGACTGTGAAATCTTCGACTTTTCTTTGATCAATTGAAACTATTCAACCCTTAGAACATAAGTGTTTAATTTTCTTTTTTATTCAAGAAGTGAACTTTATCAATTCTGCGATTCCTATTCTACAAAGAAGTTTGCTAGTTTTCATTATACATTTATCATTTATTTAAGATTTGAAATCAGAAAATTTAGAATAATCAAAAATTAATTTCTTAGAATATGCACTCACCGTGCAGAATAGGAAAACTCATTACATTTTTAAATCAAGGAATCTTTGTATCACATGGCATAGTTTTGCCAAATAAAAAAGTAAAATAATAATAACATTTTTTTATTGAAACGCTACTACCAGGAATCTACGTTATCTAAGCTGGATAAACGTATGACATCGAAATAAGATATAAAATTTCGTCCATCTCGCTCTGGAGTTCATTGACACTCGTCGCATATCGATATATATTCTACTTGAGTTCTAATTGCATCATCGGATCATCTTCTTAAGGAAGATAGTCGCGATAAAAAATCAGAATTTCGTCAAGATCGTTTCATAAAACGGAGTCGCTCGATCATCATCGTCATCGTAGCTCATTCGAAAAGCTCTCGCACATCGAATTCGAAAAAGATTCGCCCTAAAGATTTCAAAATTGCATCGAACTCGTCGAACGTTCCTCAATCCTCTCGAATCGATTCGAATTCAACTGCCGGCGTTCGAACGCTGCGCTCGAATCTCTCTCCGAGTAGAATTTCGCAGCGTCCCCCGTACGCTAGCGCCACCGTTCCAAGTACAGCCGAACGACCGGCGACTTGCACGAGCGCAGCGCAGAATCCGCCGTCGCCGCAAAAAACACACACGTACACGCGTACACATCGTATATATAAATCCGTGTATGTGCGGATACGTTTAGCAGCGGTGTTAGTGGTGGTGGTGGTGGTGGTGGCAGCGGCCAACGAACGGGGAGAGCGCAGCGCTCGAGCCGCAACGCACACACATACGGAGAGAGACAGCGGCAGCCATCCACACACAGAGACAGACACATAAGGCAGCACATTACATGGGCACAAGCGCGCAACTGGCGACCGAGGCGGCAGTCAAGCTCGCAGACTCGCAAGGTCCGCTCTCTCGTGCCGTTGCCTTCGACTGCGGAGTCGCGCGCGCGGAGGTGTATATATATTTTTATATATATACATAACTACTACTACCTACCTACCTACCTTTAGCCGTGCATAGTATAGCTCCTTTTTCTGTGTGCGCGTTGTATTATAGCAGCGTATAAAATCCTGCAGTGCTGCTTGTGTATGTGTGCGTCGCGTGCTGCTGCAGTTGTGTAGAAGTTGTGTTGAGAGTGTGTCCTCGCATCCTCGTCGTCCTTTCGACGACGATGGTGTTGTTGTTGTCGTTGTCGCGGTGCACCGCTGCTGCTGCACAGCGTCGTCGTACATTCGTCAACGCATCAGACTTTGTTGTTGATCTCGGGACTGCAGAGTCCGTGCGTGCGTAAGAGTGTGCGAGTGTAAGTGTGCATCTACGTATATACATATATCTGTGTATATTTACGATATACGTCACAACACTGTGCGCGCGTGCATGTGTCTCGGTGCGTAATTGTGCTTTCATTCAAAAGAAAAAAAACTCGGTGTACGGTATCGTATGTACCGACTTTAATGCATGTCTCTCTGACTGCAGTATATGTATATATATGCACGACAGAGATCATCGTATCGTAACGCCGCGGGCACGCACATACACGAAGCTGTGCTGCTAAACGTTCGATAGTGTCGTATTGCGATATATACGGAGGCGCACATATTATATACGAGTGCGTGAGCGAAGCAGCAGCAGCGAAATCAGTGCGTTTTTATTGCAGAGAGTGCAAACGTGCAACAGTAGCAGCAGCAGCAGCAGCAGTATAAGCAGAGAAAGAAAGAAAGAGAGAAATGACGTTCTCGAGTATAGATACGCAAGGGCAGCGAGAATCCTGAACGTAAGAGAGAGAGAGAGAGAAGAAATTGTGCATCGGCAACAGCAGTGCACATACGTATACTCAGAACCGTGCGTGTACATGTATACTCGCACACACGCATGCACATAATATATGTACGATAACAAGGCGCACGAGATTCCTCTCGCGAGTTCTGTCTCTCTATTTTATATAGCTGCACGCAGTCAGTCAGTCAGCCTATATGCACAACAAAGTGACCGCTGAGCGATGATTATTTCGGTGGATTTTCGCGGCCGCTGCTGCTGCGACGACGACGACGATGTCGCTGCCGGTGCATCGATGCCGCCGCGATCAGCGCAATGAACGTAATATAACGATGCAACAAAAAACAAGTGCCCCGAAATCGTGCCATCAACAACATCGCTACTATATGAATATGGCGTGCAGCATCGGCTGCTGCTACTCGTTGTTGCTCTAAAGTGCTGAATGAGAAAGAAAGAGATTTTGTGAGATCTATTCGAAAGATAATTGGCTCGTGTGTTTTTGTTTTTTCACATTGTTCCCGTTTTCACCTGTTTACATTTGGATGAAAGATACACATAATCATTCTGTGCGTGATTCCGTATATTCGTGTTTAATAATAAAATAAGTGCGTGTGTGTGACAGTGCATTATTTTGTTGTTCTTCTCATCGCTTCTTGGCATTCATACACCCAAGATGAGAGAATCACGAGGAGGAGCGGCCACGGCGAGGAGCTGCTGCTGGCCGATGAGGCGTCAGCTCGTCCTGACGCTGCTCACCCTACTGCTCGTTCAACTAGGTAAGTCGACGTCGTAACGTGATATTTAAGTAAGATTCCTTGCGGCGCGCGCGCGCGCGAAGTATATCATTATTAACTGTTACGCGCGTTTATCGCTCGCTTTTATAAATATAATATTTATAATTGGCGATAATTTATGCGAGCAAATTATAAATATTACACGTACGTATAGATATGAAGAGAAAGACAGAGTGAGAGTATAGTCATTATTACATTTTTCCCCGATATACATATTTATGTACGCGGAAAAAGAGTCGCACCTCTCTGTCTCTCTCTATAATACTCGTGGCGTGCGTGCGGATTAAATCTCGAGGATACACAGGAGGACCGTGTAGCAATAGAGAGAAAGAGATGAATATCGGAAGAGAGGTCTACGCACCCGCTTCTCATCTGCTCCTGGCCTTTTTATAATAATATATTATGTTTTTGTACGGGTGTACATACAAAACAAGGTTCTGCGGTGGCGGCTGCTCCGAGAGATAGATACGCATCTTTCGATTAAATTTCCAAGCCGCGTAAATACAAAACGGTACCCAGCTTGTAATGTATAAGTACGACGTGTAATATATAACGCACCGTGGATGACCAACTTCTTTTTCCCATATATATACCTATGATG